GTCCCACCGCAACGATGCTACTGCCGTTCGGGACCCTCTTGAGCTCTCATACCACTCTGTACTCCCAGTGCACCCCAGATGTGGAGATTCGAGCACCAAACCACGCCATCGAACACAGCCCGCATTAGGGCTGAATTCGCCCAACATCCCGCTCCGATTGGGCCCACTCACAATTGTATCGTATTCTAGGCTGGACAGTTTTTGAAAATCTTCAAATGAGAGAAAGAAAGTGATAACTGATTCTGGCGACTGGCAAAAACGTATCACAAGGAGCATGTTCTCACCGTCTTGCGACTACGAAGCGATTACCATACCCCTCAGTCCACTGAACTACAATGAGGTCTTCCCAGGAGCCCCAGCTCTACGTTCTTTCCGCAGGAACCCTCTCACGTATCCTCTAAATAGCATGCTCAAATGTTTGGAGAAATTGCGGAACTCTTGGCTTGATTTCCATAAAGGGAGTGATGTCGAAGAAGTGAGCACTAACCCAAAAATCCCTCAGAAACGAGGAGAATCGATCCTTTCTAGGTGTACTCTTTTCGGTTTAAGTTCCTTTCTAGGTGTACGTTTTTTCGGTTCAAAGGTACATATATCCCACGTCGGACCTATGGGCGGGGACATTCCGCATGAGAAATCATTTCAGAGCTCCTCTTCTTCTCATTTTCTTAGAAATAGGGGTGCACGTAGACACGAATGGTCCGCTGACAAAGCCTCCCCAAAAACAGCATAAGTAAATAACTTCGTCTTATTTACCTGCCGGGAAATCCTCCGATTTCAGCCAGAAATCGTTCGATACTATGGGTATCCTTCAGAGGTGCATATCGTCAGGACCGACGATGACTACATTCTAGAACTGCATCGAATTCCTTATGGAAAGCATGGTACGAACATTTTTTTTACAGTTTTCGGTTGCATTTTCATTTTTTATTCTCGATAGCGATAGCGATCACGTGCGCGGCATTCGCACCAAGACCTTACTGATCGAGTGTCAAAGGGTTATTTCTGTTCGTCGCCGCAAAAGGACCCCATTATTGAACCAACCGCTGAAATGGAAAAATTTTACAAGTGCGACTACTCGAAAATGTGCTATATCGATTTTATTGATTTTTCAGGTGAGATTAACCCCGATCGACCGGTGATTTTCCTGCAACACGGAGTATTCTCTGATGGTTTCGCTTGGACGGCAAATTTAGCAAATGAGTCGGCAGGTCAGTTATTTTTTTGCACTTTGTATTCTCAAAAAATTCATTAGTATTGATTGATGGGTAACCACGTCTCATGACAGCTGTATGCCATGGCGATGTACACCACACA